AAGATGATCTCCCAAACACTTCCACGCCATGGGCATGAGCTAAGTACAGGGATAATGCCCTGGACGTTGTCTCTCCTGGAGTAAGAAAAGTAATAATCGGATGTTAGCAGCACATCATCGTCTTTGAGAAATAAAAATAACACTAGTGCTCTACTAAGCCGCATCGATCCACTTACACTCTTCTTCTTCTTCCTTATCGTTCGCCATCTGTCCTCCACACATAGATCGACATGTTGGGTCAACTTTGAGGCCATGGTTTTCACCAAGGGGGAACACTCTTTGAAGCATTTACTACACATATCTCGGAAGCTCACCTGAAAGAAGATTCTGCTCACATTCCAGCGACCGTCAGCCCTTCAGCTCGGATGCATGCGCATTACTCACCAATTGAAGAGTGTCACACACTGCTGCGGCGACCCCACCATGTTGTTGTTGCTGTTGTTGTTGTCTGGGAATCCCTCCTAGAGCGGCACTAGGAGTCTGGGAACCTCTCGGTGGCAGGACTGAACAAGCAAGAGGATCCCCTCCATCAAGGGAGCGATGGAGGCCTACTTGGGGACATTGGATAACCTCCTCCCTGAGCACTCTGAGCCATCGACTGTGGCAAGGATGTGTCCAAAGCTAGTCTTGCTAGACTCCCAACAAGTGAACATAGTGACCTGTCGACACGCAACATGATGATGGTGGTGAGTACCGTAGACTGAGAGGAATACACTTGGAACTGCTCATCAGTGATGATGGCACTTCCATCATCATCCTTGGTCTGCTGGTGATGAGGATGATGACGAGCAGCAGCTGCAGCAGAGAGCAGTACGCTGCCTCGGGCAAGAAAGGCCATAAGCCGCATGTAGCGGAGAGGGATGGATCCGATTCCCCCAATACCAACGAATCTACCACACTAGAGTCCATCCATGCCAGCTGAGCTTAGCCGATCTACCTGTCAACTGTTGACTGCACGAAGCGCGCTATCAATAGGAGGGCTATTCTACCATGTTGGTCATTGGCAACCAAGTCCAGCAGTTGATATATCTACGTGGATGACAAACATGACTTATCCTTCACTCGATGTTATATTACCGTCGCCAAGCCCCCAGTGGGAATATTCTGTAAGAGGTCATTGGTTGCCGAGGCAAAGGACTGTTCAGCCTCAGACAGGAGTGATAGCGATTTAGGAATTCCATCCATCGGCCCAATACCATCAACTTTATAATCTAACAATACTTTTACTAGCGGCCTATTGAACACACTCTTACTATCCTCTGCAATCCTCTCCTCCTTCCACTCACTACTCCCCGATACCCGACATATCAGCGTAGGGTCCGGCACAAGCCTGGCCTGATATCATACAACGAACATAGCGCGCGCCCTGCTAATCGATTGCATATGTACTACCCTGATTATCGGATTCACCCGGCCCAAATGTACTTCTCGCAGCATTTTGTCGTCCGTGGGGTTCCGCCCGAAGAGATACCGCTCCATCTTTCTGTTTCGACGAGATACGTGCTGAATGACACGTAGGTCTTGGTCCACCTTCAGTGGCCGCTACTGGGATTTGATCACCTTCATATATTCATCCTCCTCCACAGAGACCTCATCACCGTTATTGCTGTCTCCTGGTGATCCCCCTCCTCCACCTCCTTCCATCGACTGTTCAATGTCCTCTTCCAGACCTTCAAAGCAGACATCTGGCCAGAATGGCGATAATATAGACACCTGACAGGATCCAAGTCCAAGACCGTACATACTACAAGAGCCTTCTGATGTTCATTCACATGTTAAGCATTCCTCACACTTCACACGATAGATACCCACACAGTGTGTAATAGGATGCGACTTATCACTGCATGCCCAGACAGTCCCGGACATAGCGGATACAACAAACGAGGGAAACGGTGGCACATAGACTTTTCATGTGCGAGTGTAACCGCACCACCTCATTATTCAATGCATCATCATCATCACCTGAGTGTATCC